TAATTAAGTGTATTTCTACATCATTCTTCTGGATCTTAGAAACAGAGTTGATCCATTATTTATTTCTTCTGACAACTTTCAATGTTGTCAAGCTCTTGTAGTTCCTGCAGCAATAAAATCCATCTGATATTAAGAGGAGGGGAAAAAATACTGCTAGTAGCCTGGTACTACATAAAAAAATCAATCAATCTGCTCAGAGTACGTAGGCCCAGGAGTTCAATACCCAGGAAGAGGGCTGAAACAGAAGATGATTCCAAAGGGAAAAAAGAGTCATCGCCTTTTTTTTCTTTTTTAATCTTTTGAAATAGTTTCAACTCCACCCACAGTTGAACCACTGCTCTCCAATGCTTTGCTCTCAACTGCTTCTAAAACAGGGCTGTAGGCTACACCTACTCAAACAAGTGTAGAAGACAACTAATTCCTTAATTTTACTTTCCCACTATGAAAGAAGGTTAGAATAGTATTTATGCAATATTATTGTCTATAATGGCACTTACTTCTGTTTGTTGTCATTAAAAAGGTTTAAGGGCAATCTAGGAATAGCAAATCTCTATGCTTTCTTTTAACTGTCCAGGACAAAGACATTTTTCTCTTTCTTTCTACGCAATGGTAATGTAATTCCAGAATCATAGAACTCTAATAATCTCTGTTTAAAATTTGGAAATTGATCTTAATCTTCGGCACCAATTCCTTGCATTTTATTACATTTGAAGTATGTATATTTAAACTGGGTTTCACTTAACCTCCAAGATGGTTGTTTGTGATCCCAGCCAAATATAATCTCGTTTGCTCTGGTGCCAATTCTCATTTGTCAAGCTAAACTCCTCTGTTTAGAAATCACATTTATCTCCTACTCTTCAGTCTGAATCTACATTTGATATAGTTTTAGCTATTGGATTCATTTGAGCTGATATAACCACATCTTTCATACAAGTTGTAAATATCAGACAAATGTGTCTGAAATTAAGAATTATGATTTAGTCATTTTAGCTTTGTTTATGTAAAATTTAATCTGAGATCTCTAAGGATAGTTAAATCTTGTATCACTTATCTATTTATATAAGTAATCCATTAGCTAACCATTCCTTTGCAAAATTTAATAGCAAAAGCATGTTATGGATATCTTAAATGGATATACTGTTTAGATCATAAATGGCTACAGATCAGTGAAATTAATATCTGATAGGGATTAATGGCTATTTTCTGAATTTAAAATGATGTGTCTTATTACCAGAGATGAGTAAAAGTGGAAAATAAGTATTCTCCTTCCATCCTGCTTGAGGTTCCTACATACTGTTCAACTTGATGCCTACGGTGCAATACCTTTGGCCGGATCCAGCAAGATTATCTTCTATTTATAAAAAATATAGTCTTGAAAACAAAAAGTTTGACATCTTTTATCTAGTTAAATCTAATTTTATATATATAATATAGATGCTAGTTGGAGTATAGAATATTTACTCAATACCTTGAATCAACCAAGTACAGTTGATTATTCTTGTTTTCTGTCTAAAATGGACGTTGCTTACCTGAACATCCCTTTTATCCTCGCTGCGAAGATACTCCTCAGAATGGGTAATGGTCACTCCTATTTGCGTGGCTGAGTGTCAATCATATCCCTCTGGAGCTGGTACCGCCCTCCTTCCTGCTCCTACGTCAGTCTTTTCACGAAGACAACCCCGGAATCGACGAAGATACAGCACCGGATATGAATGCAGGAACACAACAGCTACAGAGGGAAACAAGAAAACACCCCCACCAAGGCCAGGCCAGGCATAGAGAAGGGAGGGACAGAGTGTCTTCGCAGCAAGGATAAAAGGGACGTTCAGGTAAGCAACATCCATTTTCCACCTCGCTGCTCAGCACTCCTCAGAATGGGACATACCCAAGTTTAAGTAGAGGGAGGGAACGTAGCCGGGACCCGGCCTTGGGGAGAAATTACAGATTGCAAAACTCGTCTGCCAAAGGCAGCATCAGTGGAGGCAAAAACATCTAATAGATAATGACGAACAAAGGAAGAAAGGGAGGACCAAGTGGCCGCCCGGCAAATATCATCAATAGAGGCCTGGGTAGCCCAAGCAGCCGAAGTAGCGGCACTGCGGGTAGAATGGGGCAATATACCTCCCAGGACAGGAGCCCCTCGCAATTCATATGCTCTAGAAATACAGGCTTTAAGCCATCTGCCCACAGTTGCCGAAGACACCTTCTGACCCAAGGAAGAGGGGAGGAAGGAAACTAACAACGCCTCAGTCCTGCGGAAGGAGGCTGTCCGTTTGAGATAGCATTTCAATGCCCTGCGCACATCTAAGGTATGCCAGCGTCTCTCAGTAGGATGGCGTGGGTCCGGGCAGAAATTTGGCAAGATAATTTCTTGGGCCCGATGAAAGCGTGTGTTGACTTTTGGGACAAATGCTGGGTCCAAACGTAAGACCACTCGGTCGGGATAGAAAATACAGAGATCACTTCGCATAGACAGGGCTGCTATTTCGGAGACCCGGCGAGCCAATGTGATTGCTAACAAAAAGGCCATCTTCAAGGAAAGGTATCGCAGGCTGACGGAAGCAAGAGGTTCAAATGGTGGAGAAGTCAATGCTTGTAATACTAAAGTAAGGTCCCATGTCGGGTAACGATGAATCGGAGGTGACCGCAGATTGGTTACCCCTTGGAGGAATGAACGGATTCTAGGGTCTTGAGACAATGGTATCTGATTATCTCCATGCAGAACAGTAGCCAATGCAGCCACCTGACGACGAAGTGTTGCAGGTGTGAGCCCTTTGGAAAACCCAGAATGCAGGAATTGCAGAATTTCCGGAACAGCCGCAGTCGTCGGGTCGACATGATGGGCGCCGCACCACCGAGAAAAGGCGTTCCAGGATGCGTTGTAGATACGGACAGTAGAAGGGCGTCGAGCCGCCTGAATAATTGAGATGACATCATCAGACAAATTGGCCTTTGATCAGCTTTATCCTCTCAAATGCTACACGGCTAATCGGAGCCATTCTGGTTCTGAGTGGCGCACGGCTCCCTGAAGCAGGACAATCTTGTCTGGTGGAATCCACCAAGGTGGTTCAATGAACAGATTCTTGAGATCGGCAAACCATTCTCGACGAGGCCAATGCGGCGCCACAAGCAGCAATTCCACCCATTCCTGGATTACCTTCCGAATCACCTTGGAAATGATTGGAAGGGGCGGGAAGGCGTAAAGGAGTCCCCGGGGCCAAGGACTCCGAAGAGCATCCAGGCCTTCCGCCCTCGGAGATGGGTAGCGAGAAAAGAATCTCGGCAGCTGAGCGTTGTGGATTGTGGCAAACAGGTCTACTACCGGAGGGCCGAACCGTCGCGATAGGTCCTGGAACAGGCAAGGGTCCAACTGCCATTCAGATTGATCTAGGTGGTCCCTGCTGAGCCAATCCGCTTCCCGATTCATGGCGCCGGAGATGTGCTTCTCTAATCGCCGGAGCTTTTCGGGACAAGGAAGAGCGTTGAATAGAAGCCAGTTCCCAGTTGGTCCAATGGAACTTGTTCTATGGCCTTTATCTGCAGCAAGTGTTGAAGTTCGAGGGAAATAAGAAGTCGCTTCGCCGGCTGAGTAGGCCAAGGGCATGGAACATAAGAGTCCTGTGGAATGGAAGTGAACTTCAAAAACAGACCGTTGGTGACAGTTTGGACAATCCAGGCATCCGAGGTGGTAATTGGCCACAGGTGAGAAAAGGCCTGGAGTTTGCCGCCAATTGGTACCAGGGACGGTGAGTCACTTACCACGTCTGGAGTAACGGGAAGCAGAGGACTGGAAGGGACGCCTGAAGTTAGATTGGCGGCGTCCACGGTCTCGAAAGGACGCCCGGTCCGAAGCTGGTTGGTAGGAAAACTGAGACGATCTGTGATAAGAGGCGCTGCCAGCGCCTTGCTCCTGACAAAAGGGCTGCCGAAGATAAGATGAAGAACGCCTATCCTGGCGTCTGAATGTCGTGGGCAATACTTTCTTCTTATCCCTGTTCTCGACCAGGACCGAATCTAGGGACGTGCCAAACAAAGCAGGACCTCTGTATGGAGCAGCTGTCAGGCGCCACTTGGATTTTGCGTCAGCTCTCCAATTACGGAGCCACAGAAGACATCTGGAGGAAACTGTCGAAGCCAGGGCTCGCGAGGCAAATTTAGCTGCGTCCAAGGACCCATCGGCTGAATATTCAGCAGCAGCGACTAACTTAGCCAGATCCTGCTGCAAACGTGCATCTTCAGGTGGAAGTCTGTCCCTCAATTGACGTAACCACACAAGTGATGCCCGGTTGAAAAATGAAGATGAAGTAGGAGCATGGATGGCCCATGCAGCCGCCTGGTGTGTTTTACGAAAGGCCATCTCCGCCCTTTTATCCTCAAACTTGAGTCCATCACCAGCTTCTCCTACCAAGATAGATGAAGACGTAAGACTGGCCACCGGATCATCTACCATAGGCAACTGCAAGAGGGCATCCAGCGCTGGAGCTGAAGCGTACAGTTTTCGATCAAAGGCATTTGGACCGGAAAGCGAGGCGGGGTGGTCCCATGGCTTCTGAATGACCTGGCAGAAAAGGTCAGGATACGGCACAAAGTCATAGTCAGGTTTTGGTAAATTAAACAAGTTACTGTTGGGACCCGGTGGGTTTGAAGTAGAACCCTGAGCCAACTCGGTGTCCATATTAGTGGCAACCTTCGCTTTGTGTAAAAGGGAACGAAACAAGGAAGGCTTGAACAACCCCGGGAAAGCAGGCTTCTCCTGGACAGTCTCCTCGTCATCCGACATCTCAAAGTCCTCCAGGAAATCATCCTCCCTGACTGTTTCAGGCACCTGAGCATAAGAAGCAGGAGGTTGCTGTCCACAGACAGACTGCATATGACCTGAGGCCGCAGCGGCACACCCAGGATTATGTAACATACCAGTGGCTTGCTGTAACCCAACCTGAAAAATGTGGGACATTGCCTGAGTAAAGAGCGAATTAAAAAGGGCGTTGGTCCTACCTGATACGCCCGTTCTCTCCCGCGGGAGGGAACGGCAGGCAGCGCGGGTAAACTCAGTCAGTAGACCAATCAGGACCGGGTCTGCAATGACGTTTAGCCCCGCCCTTCCTGCTGCTCTCTTCAGTTTATCGGCGAGGTAATCACTGCAGACTGTTGCGTGTCTCCTGCTGATAGAAAGGAAAGGTGAGTACGACCCACCCCACCCCGACACCCGAAGGCGCAGCCCCAATAGGGAGGGGGGCTGCCTGCCGTTCCCTCCCGCGGGAGAGAACGGGCGTATCAGGTAGGACCAACGCCCTTTCTCCTCCCTGGTTGGGAACGGCAGGCAGCGCGGGACATACCAAAGCTTGATGTCCAACGGGAGGGCAGTACTCGGGCGAGCCGCAGATCAGGAAACATGGACCCGTTGTAGGACCCGTCTGCCGAACGCCGCATCAGCCGACGCGTAGGCATCCAGACGGTAGTGTCTAATAAAAGGTGTCGGGGTAGACCAAGTCGCCGCTTTGCAGACTTCTTCCAAGGACGCTTGAGTAGCCCAAGCCGCGGAGGTGGCTGCACTCCTGGTGGAATGTGCAGTCACCCTGTTGGGGACCGCAAGCGACTGTGACTCATAAGAGAAGGCAATTGTGGCCCGGATCCATCGGCCCAAGGTCGGAGCAGACACCTTGATCCCCATCGTGGTAGGTTGGAACGAGACGAATAAAGCCTCGGTTTTGCGAAAGGAGGCAGAACGAGAAAGGTATATCCGCAAAGCCCTACGGACGTCGAGCTTGTGCCACTGTTCCTCGAGCCGGTGAGACGGGCGAGGGCAAAAATTGGGCAAGGCGACCTCCTGTGATCGATGGTATACAGAATTCACTTTGGGAAGGAACGTGGGGTCCAAACGGAGGACCACCTTGTCGTGATGGAAAACACATAAGTCTTGTCGGATCGACAAGGCGGCCAGTTCGGAAATGCGACGAGCGGATGTAATCGCCACCAAAAACGAAACTTTAAAGGAGAGAAATTTCAGGGAAGTCGTCCGGAGAGGTTCGAAGGGCGATTGAGTGAGAGAGGACAAGACCTTTGAGAGATCCCAGGTAGGGAAACGGTGAATGACCGGGGGGCTCAAGTTGGAAGCGCCCCGCAGAAATTGGCGGATCAGAGGATCCTTGGTAACAGTTGTCAGAGAAGCACATGCGGAGATGGAAGCCAAGGCCGCTACCTGCCGCCTCAGGGTAGAAGGGGCAAGGCCAGAGTCGAAGCCTTCCTGGAGAAAACCGATGACGTGCTCAACCGAGGGCGAAGTCGGACAAACCTGGCGGGCCGAGCACCATGATGAAAAGGAGCGCCAGGTAGACTCGTAGATACGAGCTGTGGAGGGGCGCCGCGCCGCCTGGATGGTTTTGATGGCGGCAGGGGGGATGTTGGCCCTCGTCAAGAATCCCCGCTCAGTCTCCAGGCGGTTAACTGTAGCCATTGGGGCTCTGGGTGGACCAGAGCCCCCTGCAGAAGGCAAATTCGCTCGTCCGGTATTCGCCATGGACTGGCCGTGGACAGGGAGACCAGGTCCAAAAACCAGGGCCGGCGAGGCCAATGAGGAGCTATGAGGATCAGCTCCGACTTCTCCTGTAGGAGTTTCCTGAGGACCCGTGCGATGAGAAGCAGGGGGGGGAAGGCATAAAGAAGCACCCCCCGGGGCCAGGGAGAGCGAAGGGCATCCACCGCCTCTGCTCCTGGTGACGGGAATCTGGAAAGGAAACGAGGGACCTGATGGTTGGAGTGGGAAGCGAACAAGTCAACCTCGGGAAGGCCAAAGCGGTGAGAAAGGTCCAGAAAGAGGTCAGGGTGAAGCTGCCATTCAGAATGGTCCACCCAATTGCGGCTAAGAGAATCAGCCTGAACGTTAGATTTGCCAGAAATGTGAGAAGCCGTCAGAGAGGCCAAGTGAGTCTCGGCCCAGAGGCCGAGTTGTAAGGATTCGTGAAAGAGGGATCTAGAGCGGGTGCCACCCTGCCTGTTAACGTGGGCCTTGGCGGAAACATTATCGGTTAACACAAGAACGTGCTTGCCCTGAAGAAGGGGAAGGAAATGACGTAAGGCGAGAAAAATCGCCCGTAATTCCAGAAAATTAATAGAGGAGTCCTTCTCCGCTGCGGTCCAAAGGCCCTGAACCATATGGGAATCTAAGTGCGCCCCCCAGCCGGAAAGGCTCGCATCAGTCGTAAGAACAGACCGATGAGGTTCTCGAAACAGGGTGCCATTGGCAATAGCCGAAGAAGACCACCATTTTAGAGAGTCCAAAACCTTCGAAGGAAGGGAGACTTTGCGCAACGAGGAAACAGATAGAGAACGCTGAAAGGGAAGAAGGAACCATTGGAGGCGCCTGCTATGTAAGCGGGACCAGGGGACGATGTCGAAGGAGGACACCATTTTCCCCAGAAGACGGGAGAGAGCAAGAACAGACATGGGCCGGCCGTCCAGACATTGAGAAGCCAGGTCAGATAAGCTGACCTGACGCGACGGGGAAAGAAACACCATGGATGACACCGTGTCGATGACAGCCCCCAAATGCTGGAGACGGGTCGAAGGCGTTAGAGAACTCTTGGCCCAATTGATTAGGAAACCATGAGCTTGAAATAAACGGATAGAAGTAGAGACATCCTGCTGAGCCCCGGGAAGGGAGGAGGAAAGGATGAGAATGTCATCCAAGTAAAATAAAATACGAATGGGAAGGGACCGAATATGAGCGACAAGGGCCGCCATCAATTTAGTGAAGACTCTGGGCGCAGAGGAAAGGCCGAAAGGGAGAGCCCTATATTGATAGTGAGAGCCCCTAAAGTAAAAACGGAGAAATTTACGGTGGGGTGGAAAAATGGGGACATGCAAATAGGCCTCGGTCAGGTCGACCGAGGCAAGGAAATCACCTTCACGAATGCACTCCAAGATGGTGTGAAGGGAGTGCATTTTGAACCGGCGGTATTTTATGAACCGGTTCAAAGATTTCAGGTCCAGTATGGCCCGCCAGCCCCCCGAGGATTTGGGGACAAGAAAGAGGCGAGAGTAAAAACCGGACCTGCGTTCTGATGGAGGAACGGACTCGATGGCTTTAATTTTAAGAAGGTGAGCAACAGCAGCCTCCATACGGGCACGGGAAGGAGGATCGCGAGAGAGAGAACAGGGGACGAAAACCCGAGGAGGAGGTGAACTAAACTCCAAACGAAGACCCTCCCGAACAGTAGAACAAACCCAAAGATCAGAGGTAGTGGCGTCCCAGGAACTGGAAAAAAAGGAAAGACGGCCCCCTACCAAGTAGTCTGGAATTCCTTTAACGAGATTTGCGGAAGGGGCGGCCTCTGCCGCCGCGGGGAAACCGTCTCGGGGGGAATCTGGGATGGGATCTGACCTGAAAGTCCTGGTTCTGCATCCCTCTGGAGGGGAAGCTGCGAGAGGAGCGGTTGTAGGAGGTGCCGCTGTCAGATGGACGAAAGGACTGGGCCCGATAATAAGGCTGTTGACGAAAATCCGATCTACGGGAAACAACTGGAAAAATTTTCTTGTGATCCCTGGTTTCCACCAAAATAGGGTCGAGGGCGGAGCCAAAGAGGGACCTACCCTCGTAAGGAGAAGCTGCCAGACGCCATTTACTCCTGGCATCAGCCTGCCAATGGCGGAGCCAGAGGAGCCTCCTGGAGGAGACGGAAGACCCCATGGCCTTGGCTGAAAAGCGAGCCGTGTTGAGGGTGGCGTCAGCCGAAAATTCCATTGCGGCCAGAATTTTATTAATGTCTTGGTGGGAGCGTGTGTCAGAGGCCGGGAGGCGGTCCTGCAGCTGCTTCAACCACAAAATGGATGCCCTGTTGAAGAATGATGCCGCCGAAGCGGTTCTTACCGCCCATGCAGAAGCTTGATGATTTTTGATCAGAGTCCGCTCGGCACGTTTATCCTCAGGACGCAATGACTCCTCAGGAGGGCCAGCAAGATGGGAAGAGGAGGCTAAGGCCACAACAGGAGCATCCACAACCGGCACCTGCAACAAGTCAGAAAAGTCAGTAGGAATAGCATAGAGCTTTTTGTCCTGAGAATTGGGCAAGGGGCCAGTGCCCGGAGAGGCCCATTGTCTCTTTACCACATCCGTGAATAATTTCGGTGCAGGCAAGGTATCCACTCTGCTAGGTTGTTCTGAAAAGAGAGAAGCAGATGGGTCATCAGAGGAGGAAGCCGCTCCCTGGGAAGTGGGAGCAGGCAACATTTTGGTGACAGATAGGGCCTTAAAGAGCAAGGAGCGGAATAGGTGGGGTTTGAAAAGGCCAACGAAAGCTGGTTGATCGGGCTCCAGACCCTCATCATCAGACCATTCTTGGTCCAGGGCAAGGTCCTCAGCGGACAGAGAGGCCTGGCTAGCAGAAGCTGGAGAGCAAGGTCTGTCCAGGTGGGGAGAAGCTGCTCCCTTGTGGGAAAAACCACTGACTTGACTGGCGTAGTCTGCCACCTCCGATTCCGCACGCTGGTTGAGGCCCTCAGAGATCCCCTGGCGTATAGCTGATGATATAAGAGAAGCCAGGGCAGGAGAAATAGAAGAAGGCAAGGATTCCAAGGTAGCAGGGAGGGGAGGTGGTGGAAGGACAGAAGATGGGGGGGGAGGGGGGGGGAGGGGGGGCTGGCAGACAGAAGAAACAGCAGGTAATGGAGCTTGAATGGTGGATTCATGAGAGAGACCCTCCTGGGGTAGGGTGGCAAACAGAATGGCCGCTGCACTGGAAGAGGGAGAAGCCCCCATTTCAAGGCGATCCGGTGAAAGGGAAGATCTGTGCGTGGCCTGGGGTTGAACATGAATAAGGGCAGCCTGGGAATTAGCATCCAGAGTAGAGGCCTGAGGGGGTTGAACAACAATCTCCTTGGCGGCCTGCAGCTGCGCTTTCTGAACGGCCCGTTCCAACGCCCTGTGCCTACGCTGTTCATCCTTCTTAAGCTGAGATGATTTATGGGGCTTTTTATGGCTCTTCTGAAGCCCTGAAGTGCCCTCCCCAGGATCGCTGTTATGGCGCTTCCTTGAATTACTAGGGACAGTCCCACGGCCAGCTCTGGATGAACGGGAGTCCGCCATCTTGCAAATCAAGTTTTGGCGCGAAGGAGAAAATGGAGGGAAGGCCCCAGTACTCACTGCGCACCACACACGACAAATCAGCGAAAATTCGAAGCGCCAGGAGGCTCGCCAAAAGCTGCTAAGCAAAGGCTTGACAAATAGCAGCGAAAACGTCAGCAAGGGCGAGAGGGGGCGAGCGCGTTGCAGGACAGGGCTCCGGAGCGAACTCGTGGGCCCAGCCTGATAAGGAGCCAGCCGGCAACCTGATTGACGCTAGGAGCCGTCCAGGGAACAGGAGGAGATTCCAAGCCGAAAGGCCTCTCGATCGCCCAGATAGCTCTTAAAAGAGCTGTTTGTTTGTTTTGCTCTTTTTTTTTTTTTTTGAAGAACAGCAGGAGACTAAACCGTCCAGGTCGACCGAGTCGATAAACTGAAGAGAGCAGCAGGAAGGGCGGGGCTAAACGTCATTGCAGACCCGGTCCTGATTGGTCTACTGACTGAGTTTACCCGCGCTGCCTGCCGTTCCCAACCAGGGAGGAGAATCCACAGGCTGACCAAGGGCAGGTCCCACTTCAGGGCGGAGGCCGGCCGCAGTAGGTGTAAAGGTAGCCTCAGGAGCAGGCCTAGAAGCCTGAGAATTGTGGCTGGCAGCGCTGGAAGAGCATGACGTAGCCCTGACACAGGCCGGGTTGGCAGAGGCCAATGACAACCTTTTAGAAGCAGATGGATTGTCTGCATGAGGCTCACCATCCTGGTCGACATCATGGGAGACCACTGGATCACAATCAGAATGATGGCACAAGTCCTCATCCAGTGATTCATTTATTATTATTAATATTAATAATTTTGATATAATATATATATCTATTAAAAGACAATGAAAAGGTGATTACTTCCCTGAATGTTGTCAGACAAGATGCTCCAGACAGGTGCCAAGCGCAGATAAGTTCTGGACAGCGACCCTGGAAACCAAAGCCCAGGCCGCGGCAAAAACTGGACAGCACAAAATGGCGGGCCGTTAGAGACAAAATGGTGGCCCGTTAGGAGATCCTCAGAGAGTCCGAAGCCAGGCGAAACAAAGCGCCTATGGCAGGACTATTAACACAACGAAATTGCTGAATTAAGGCACTCTTCGGCTAATGAGTATGCCAGCTGGCAGGGACTCAAGCCGCAAGGATTGTTGACGAGGCTGCGCGGGCGAACGAGGTTGCTGTCAGTCAAGCAGCCCCAGCAGCAATCAAATGGCGGCAAAACGAATTTCAAAGTACCACCAGCAAAGCCAAGCCGCAAACGGCGGCCGGAGCCCCGAACCGCCGTTCCGCACATACTAGCTTCACCCAAGTTAAGCTAGGCAAAGCGCAGCCTCCGCAAACCAATCTGAAAGGTCTAATCCAAAAAATAACGAAAATAAAACTGTATAATAGAAAAACTAACTGAGAAAGAGACACTCAAGAACTCTCGCAAATGGCTGAGTGAAAAGACTGGCGTAGGAGCAGGAAGGAGGGCGGTACCAGCTCCAGAGGGATATGATTGACACT